ATCTAGCTTTGAAGGGGCTGATTATAAGCCTTTCTAGCAGGTGAGAGTTCTGTTCAGGGCTGATCCCTACATAAAGAGGGTGTGTGTAAAGGAAGGGATATTAAGCGGTTTGTGCCGAGACGTGCTCTGAAGAACAGAACATTTGGACTTGCTTGGGTAAACCGCTTTAATGGACATCCAGCAGCAGGTGATCCACTGAATCTCTATCCCCTGGAGATCAAACAGGCAGAAGGTTTCACACTGAAGCAGAAATAACAACATTTGAAGAGGAATGCTGATAACTAAAAACACATTCCACTTTCATTCCTACTTTTTACCATCCAAAATGTTTCAATATTAGATTAGATCATTTTTAAATACACTTTGCAATGACTAAAGGAACTCAATTACATATGTATAGAGCTCGCACTGAATGTCTGTTTAATAGGAAGTAATGTCAAAATAAAAGCATGGCATGATTAGCGGTGGGACTAGCAACCACTCACGTTGACCTTTTACCTTTGTCACAGCTAGAATGTATCTTACACCATCTGCACGTTGGATGATGACCCCTCTACTGTATCCATGGACTATTAGATAATGATACCATGTATTCCCAAGTCACGTCCTAGTACAACTCTATTAAAAAGCAGCTATGTGCAAGCAGAAAACTCTGGAGCAACCACTGACTCCTAGACAATCAGTGGCCAGAATCATGATGCTGGCCCGACTCAGCCTTGCCAGGTACCTCAACGGAGCAGGGGCTAAAAATAGGGGAGAAAGTAGAGGGAAAAAACCAAACCGTGCCCTTGGGAACAGTGGTCGGGCCATCATCGGTCCGAGATGCTCTGAGTAGTGTTCCTGGAAAACCACCTAAAACGTTTGTTTTAGCTGTACCCTACAACAGGGACTCTATCCAATCTGAGCTCTCTACTGTGCCCCCTAGTGGAACACTCCAGTACTACGTTATTGCAGCAGCAAGTATGTGAATAAAGATGCAGCCTGCTACCAGGTTAAGAATCAAGGATAATCCCAGCGGGCAGTCGCCATGCTAGGATCTGGCTTTACTGTCACTACAACAATAAACCATCACAAGTTCTGTTTACACTCAAAGCCACGTCAAACTATAACACTTGATTACAGCATTCTTATTGTGGTCCTGAAATTGTTACCAAGAACTTGCACAGACTATTCCCCTAATCATTTTTCTTTCATCGCAAATTTTTGCTTGAATGTGAATCAGGTCTTCCAAAAAATAATTCTTTTTCAATTACGTTATAATGACCCAAAAAATGTGCACAGAGGGCCCTAAAGCACACCAAACTACTTTTTCTCCATGTTCCATCAAAGCTCTACATCTATGACTAAAAAAGTTACCACAGGCTAAACAAATAGGATAGTTTAAAGCTGCTCAAAGCACATACCATCAACAGACGTTTCAACAGCAACATCTATGTTATACTAATAGAAGCTATGGAAATGTTAGACATGGAGAATCACCATAAATCTACAAGCCAAAGCTCACGTACTTCAGGTGATTCATCAGTAAGTGCTGGTTTAATATCAGCCATGATCCTGTGTCTGAGATAAACAAGCACTAGTGAAGAATTTGCACCACTGCTGCTATTTAATGGCAAAGGAGACGGATGTGAAAGTTTGATATTAAGGGATTAGCCCAGGAAGCATCTAGTGTACTATTCGCGGAAAGAAGCTCTCGGAGTAATGTGTAGGGAGACTACAAACAACTGTTCCAGCCAAAGTGCAAACTCTTCACCAACATTCAACAAAAGGTTGAAGGCACTAATGTTCAACCATAGCTTAAAATTCCTGAGATACTTTTGCAGAAATAAACACATTTGTAAAGCTGACCGGGAAAGGGTGGCTTGCCAACTTCGGGTCGGGAGAGAGGTCCTACCTCAAGTGGAGGAGTTTAAGTATCTCGGGGTCTTGTTCATGAGTGAGGGTAGGAGGGATCGGGAGATCGACAGGCGGATTGGTTCGGCATCTGCAGTGATGCGGACGCTGAGCCAATCTGTCGTGATGAAGAGGGAGCTGAGCTAGAAAGCCAGACTCTCGATTTACCGGTCGATCTACGTCCCAATCCTCACCTATGGTCATGAGCTTTGGGTAATGACTGAAAGAACGAGACTGAGAATACAAGCGGCCGAAATGAGTTTCCTCCGTAGGGTGGCCGGGCTCAGCCTTAGAGATAGGGTGAGGAGCTCGGACATTTGGGAGGGACTCGGAGTAGAACCGCTGCTCCTCCGGATCGAAAGGAGTCAGTTGAGGTGGTTTGGGCATCTGGTCAGGATGCCTCCTGGCTGCCTCCCCGGGGAGGTGTTTCGGGCATGTCCTGCCGGCAGGAGGCCCCCGGGTCGACCCAGGACACGTTGGAGAGGTTACATCTCCAATCTGGTCCGGGAACGCCTTGGGGTCCTGCCGGAGGAACTGGTGGAGGTGGCCGGGGAGAGGACGGTCTGGAGCTCCCTAGTTGGGATGCTGCCCCCGCGACCCGGACCCGGAAATGCGGAGGAAGACGACGACAACTTAATAAAGAGAATTCTTGTTACCCTTAAGAATTACAGAAATAAAAATTGTCCATCAAATCAGGGACAATGTCTTCAACATTAAAGCTATCATTGAAATGCTACAATATAAAGGCCATTTTCTGGTTAGGGTTAGGGTTGCTCTGTGAGCATAAAAGTGATCTAATCCAATTGACAGATGAGGAAAAATGTTGCAGATTATTTCCAGGGTGCTCCTAAATCAAGAAGTAATCTTTTTAAAAACGTGGAATCAATTATTTCAATGCAAATCAATCCAACATCATTGATAAAACAGATTTACTAAGAAAATGTGATGCGTCCATCTCCATCTTACTGCCAACATAAACATAGACCATTAAAAAAAACCACAATGCCATTCTAATAAAATGTTGGTTTAGGCTCTGAAGATCTGTCTCGTTAACCTAACGCCGCGTCTCCGCTTGCTGCAATAATGAGATCACTTCATCTGAAGTCAATTTAATTTATTTACACTTAGGAAATATTAGAGCAGCTCAGAGTATCACTGGGAGGAACACCGAGCATACAAAGCGCGCCTGGCTCACACAGGTCTGGTTCATCAGCAGGCGATACAAACTCTCATTCTTAACAATCGCATGACTTTGGTGAAATGTGTGCAGTATCTCAACAATGACAGCAGCAGAAAAAACAAAAATAATCAAGTTAATATGAAAGAAATTAATAGTCTGGAAGCAAAGTGTAGTTAGCTGAGCTAACTGTAGTTCACGGTTCCACTTGGTCAGCTTTACTTCCCCACGGACGACGTGGCCAGATGGCACTTTCTGACTGTCAGCATTTGTCCCACACATAGATGCACCGGCACACACACACACACACACTGTTATCCCAACCAGTTAGTTGTTCTCATTAAAGCGAATACAGATGACAGCAGGCTTTAAAAGATCACAAACTAAGACGCCTGGACGCTCACGTTACCCACTTCAGGCTCGCAGCACTTCTGCGCGTGTCTGGCTATTGGACATCATCCCCACTTGGGCTGGTGTGTTGATGAAGAGAGTCCCCAAACAGCAGAAATCAATACCGTCTGTCAGCTTTTTAGTGCGGCCATGGACAGAGCAGAGACACGGGGACCGTGGAGATAGAGCTGCACCCGTCCGTCAGGATCCCTGTGACCACCAACGGCTTCGATCACACTTGACACAAAGAGAGCACGAGAGGACAGCACCAATCTCAGAAGATAGAGACGCACACCTACTGTATGTCGTAGGCTCACTCTAGTGGAAAGTGTTCTTCGTTTTATCTGTCATCGATACAAACTAAAGACCAAACAGAGCAGTAAGTTCCTGCCTGAAGGTAAAATAGTGGCACCCTGGGAGCAATCCTTACATATCTGATGCATGTGTTCCCATATATACTGCAGCTTTAAATAATCGTGCATTTGCGGCCAAAGCAGAGCACCTAATTGCTCTGGCAGCCATTGAATGAAGACAACCGCCACGGTGGGATGCGGCGGGACTTTGTCTGAATGCATGCAATTACTCAGCACAAAAGGAGTGGCCGCGTGCTGCCAGAGCAAATTTAGCTTCTGTGGTCCGTGTTCAGCCGGGAATCTAATGATGAGCATTTAAGGGCCAAATAACTACTGCATTGTTTACTTTTACCTGTGGAAAAAGCAGCGTGCACAAGGGGCAGGGGAGCTAGGAAGTGGGAGAAAATTTGCTGGGATTCAAAATAAAGCGAATGATCTAATCTGGTGTGGGGCAGCCCTGAAAGAAGATGAATGGTCTCCATGGAAGCAAAGGCAGGGGAGAGGCTGAAACGTCCAACTCCCTTTTGGTGAAGGTCCCATCTCCTAACTCGCTGCTGACAGCTAGCTTGCAAACAAATTCCAGGATGAGAGGAAGGAGAGTCCGATCTATACTTGCTCTAAGAAAGTCACACAATTCCAAACAGCACTGAACTAAAATTCAACAAATACCTAAATAATAAGCGCATGCATTCTTATTAAACTTGCTTTTGAATCAATCTGAGTGATCGCAGGCTGTTTGGATGCAGCATGCGTTTTTAAAATCTATCAATTGAGGACTTACTCGGTGATTTAGTCCCCCTCTAACCATCACTCGTGACAATAACATCCATCCGAGCCATTGTCAGAGGTCATTTACATAATGAAAGAGGAGAATGACTTCGGAGGCTGAGGCAGGATGAGCATGCCATTTGGCAGGCAGAGAAAATGAAGATGGAGGGAAAACGGTTTGGCAGGAAGGGAGCACGGGACAGTAAAAGTGCAGCGAGAGCAGCAAAAACGGGGAGGCAGACGAACCAGAGTGTAGGATTTTATAGAGAAGGAAGGGCTCAGAATTTGTTAGATAAAAGTTTGCTGCTGTGTGTGTGTGTGTGTGTGGGGGGGGGGGGGGGGGGTAAAGTTCTGAAGCATCTTTAGGACACACTAGAGTGAGAGACTGAGGTGTCTCCAAAGACGTCACACCATCTTACCTTGGCCGACGCCTGAGCCACCGAACCTGCTCCCGTGATGGCTTGCTTGACCGCGAGGTCGCAGCTCGATGTTGTCACGGCAACCGTAACTGGGGTCGGGAGGAGGGAAGGGATGACCGGGAGGGGAAGGAGCCCCGGGCGGTTGTTGCCATTGACGACGGCAGAGGCACAGCTGTGGTTGGCTCCTCCGTTGTGGAGGCCGGTCAGACGAATGTCTCGCCGATCCCAGGGTCCCCGGTAGTCCCTCTCAAAGCGGTGGTGGTGGCGTGACATCACTTCCTCTCAGTGGGAACAACAGGGGCAGGCCTGCGTAAATAGAATAAAGGAAGATGAGGAGGAGGAGGTCAGACTGACATTCCCTCTGAAGTGGTGGAAACAGGAATAGAAACACGAGAGACATGGAGTGAATTAAGGGGGGAACACACTGACATGAAGGTGTAAATGTGCTCAGCATCTGCTCCTGTGCTGCCAGCCTGACATCAACACACCGCGCTTCATTTATTTCCTCTAATTCCTTTTCTCCCGGTCATTAATGAAGGCTGCAACAACAAGGAGGGAGACAGGCGCCGCTGAGCCATATTTGCTGTGTGGCGTTACATGAAGTGTGTGTTCTCGACAACGGGAGGTTAAAACAACATGGCTGAGCGATTTGCAAACAGGTAGGCATGGGATTTTTCTCCCCCCCTAGGGCAGCACAGCAGTAACATGACCCAGTGGTCAAAACTCTTTCATCTAAATAGATAAATTCCCCCGCAATTACAGCTCATCTCATACATCTAATGGCTGGTTAATTCAATCACACTTCCCTTGAAGTGCATTTGAGGGTTCTCCCCTTTTCAGGCACAGCAGGCTGACAGGCTAAGAAGGCGACAGCGAGCTGGAATTACATCAGCGTGGAGTACAGTGCCATTGTGCAGCACGAGCGGCGTATCGCTCTTATATCATAAATCAAAGACGTACAGGATGTAAGGAGAGGAATCCATCACCGAGGGGGGCTCTGAAGTGCATTGTGCTCAAACTCACCAAAGGTGCATTCTGCTTACAGAGCCACTGATAACAGATGAAATAAATAAATAACCTCAAACCAGTTTTGGCAAACCCACCACTCCCTCTCCATGCAAAATCCCCTCGTCTGTGAGGGGAGAATGACGGTGGATAAGTCTTTCTTCTGCACGCCGGGGTCTGTCACGCTGCTTCTTTGCCTCACAGTGGAGAGAACTCCTTGAAATGCCACATTTGTGTGTGTGTGTGTGTGTGTGTGTGTGTGTGTGTGTGTGTGCATGTGTGTGTGTGTGTGTGTGTGTTCAGAAGCAGTATACACTACAACTGCAAGACTGTGCATGTGTTTGTGGAGCATAAGTTGAAAACTCCGCGGTAGTATGAGATCATCTCTGCTGGAAGTAAAGGCTTTAATGCTCGCGGCGGGATCACCGACACGACTGTGTCCTCACCTGCTGTGACCATCGTTTGGATTCAGTTGCATTTCTGCAACGAGTAAGCTCTTTCAGGCCTCTCTTACACTCTGTTTAATCACCTCCTCTCCCTCTCAATCCTCATTTCTTTCTCTGTAATACAAGGTCTGGCTCTTTGCAAACATTGCGAGCTGATCCGTGGCAACGGAGCTAAAATTCGGGGCGACTGAAAGCTGTTGGAAACTCTCTCACGCTCTCCACAATAACCTTTCTCCCTCTCCATAGTAACCTTTTTTTATTAATCTCACATTTTCCAACAGACTAACCTCGCATTATCTCTGAAAATATGTACATGCAGAGTAACAAGGTGCTAGGTCAGTTGAACAATGGTGGAGTTAGTGCCAGGTAATGTGCTGTTATCTCATGAGCACCAGCAGAAATAAAAGGGCAGGCGGGGAAATTCCAACATATAAATTAAGGGCAGAAGAATAAAAAAAGGTGCATTTTCTCCAAAATAGAGGGAAATGACAGAAATGGGTGTTTGTTTTGACAATTCTGCACAATTCGTCTTTTAATATATTAATCAATAGCTTTTTTTTTTACCAATCTGTGCAAACATGTCGTGGATTTGTTGTGCTTTCTGTGGTGCAGACTGTGATTTACTGAAAATCCAAGTAGTGTTGTCTTCCTGCAAAACTCCAGAGCACACGGGAGTACAAATCAATACATCTGATTATGCAGAGAAGGAATTGATCCAAGTTTGCATGTTCGCACTCTGGGGAGCTTTGGCAGGAAGGCAGCAGCAAGCAGAATGGGCAAAAGAAAGAAACATACGTGTGCAGAAGAAAACCTCCTCCATTTGTTTCCCATCAGCCAGCCAGCTCTACACAGAGCACCTGGTTCTGGGAGGACTCAAGGAAATTAAATCCCTCAGGAAATCCCATTAAAGTAAAGGTCATCCTGGTTTATTTGATAGTATTTTCTGATTTGGAAACTGCAGTGACCATTTTTCTCCATGTTTATTGATTACCATTTATGAGCTGATGGATGAAAAATAAACACATATTTGGACTCATTAGCAATATCAGTGTAGGAGTGGCCAAACCCACTGGCTCTTGTATCAAGAGGGGCAATGGTTTTGAAATATTTGAGGAATTGGTAAATTATACAAATCTGCATAAAAAATAAGTCTACTTTTGTTAAATTAGTCACTGTTTTTCCCCACCAGCACCTGATCATAACACTCTAGCTGCTTTTCACGGGTGCATTTTCCAGCCCAATCTAAGTTTTTTTATCATGTGTTACTAAATGTTTAAACGAAACATCTAAATTTGTACTCATTATTGTTTCACATCATCATTTATATAATATGTCAAAATGCTGAAGCTTTTTTTTTATTAAATGGACATTTTACTGCTCCCACAGGAAATAATCAAATGCACTTCCTTAAAGTGACAATGTGTAGTTTTTACCATTAATCTCTAGAAATATCCATTGAAATGTTGTTGTAAATGAATCAAAAGATGCTAAGTTGATGAAAAAATATTGGCGGTTTCATAACATATAAACATAAAAATCAGATCTAAAATACATAGAGCAGGTCTAAGTCTCTGGGCGACGCCATATTGGATGCCATATTTTCTTCTACGGAAGCCCGTGATGACCAAATGCATTTACTAATTTGTAACAAATGGTTACAAAACTTTAACCATTAATAAATGTTATTTTACACATTTTGCTCGTTGCCAGAGATGAAAGAGAATCTGATGTTCTTGTTATTTTGCCGGAGGTTGTGCTCCCAGGGATTTTCAACCCTAATGGCCATCCGTTGGTAAGGTCTTATTTGAGCACAAAAGTAATGCTTGCTTGCAATCATTTAGGTATCTACTGCCCCTTATCACCAAGGAAACTATGCATTGTCACTTTAAGGGATCATCCGTAACCATGAGCACCTCCTTGGCTTTTCTGGAGCATACAGGTGTGTGTTAACAGAATAGTAAAGATAAATTATGTTAACAATGATCTACTGAAGCTAATGTGTTATTATGCATGATGTCAAATCAGTTAATGCGTTTTGTCCTAAAAAGGCTCCCATAGAAGAAAACGGGAGTCACCCAGAGTCTTTGACCCGCTCCTATTTATTTTAGACCCAATTTTAATGGTTTTATGTTACAAAGCCGCCAGTATGTTTCAACAACTGGGCATGGTTTAATGAATTTTCAACATTTCGATGGATATTTCCAGAGATTAACAGTAAAAATTACACAATAGCTACATTTACATGTGCCACATTTCCCCTATCTAATTCAAATTTGGTTAATCGTAAATCCCAAACCTCTGTTTACATGGACACTAACTGAAATAATCCGATCATGCTGTGAGTATAAATAAATACATCAAGAATTCAGTCAGATTAAATAGGGTGAGCATGCACAGAGTTGTCTTTCCCAGAAAAACTTGTAAACAAAGACCATCTTGTCCGCGTGTCTTTCCCCTCACATTTTATTTTCTTTGTTTCCCCCGTTTTGGATCTTCTTTGCATTTTTACCCGAATGCATTTTTACCTGTACGCTTTTCTTTTTACTGATCGCTTTAACTAAGCTACAGGCTCAGCAGTACATAACGCTACTGCTCCTCCACCACAGGAGAGGAACGCAGCCTAATCTACTAATGATCACCTGCTCATACCATCCTCCAGCCCCTCAAACTTGTCCTGAGCGGCTGCGAAGACAAAAAGATGTCACGCTGAAGTTGCACACATGCACAGTGGGCATTATTTTACTCCAACAATTCGAATGGATGTGTACATCCCTCCCCAGTCAAGTCAGGCGTGCCCCAGGGCTCTGTCCTGGGGCCCCTCCTCTTCATAGACTATATCCTCCCTTTCAGCAATATCTTCCGCAAATTGAATATCCAGTTTCACTGCTTCGCGGATGACACCCAGCTCTACATTTCCAGTAAACCCAACTCAACTCTCCCACCATCCTCCCTTACCCTCTGCCTCTCAGAAATCAAATCCTGGTTCACCTCTAATGGGCCATTCCCATCTGTACCGGGTCGGCCCGGGCCGGGTAGCCCCAGTCGGCCCCAGCCTGGCCCGGTTGATTCCACACATCCTTGCCTTAAGCCCATTTGGGCTGATTCTACCCACCAATCAGAGGCTTGCTCTAATGGAAGGTGTGAATTTGCTGTCAGCAGTGGGTGTGTTGGCCCTGGTCAGCCTGAAGCAGACCCCCTCGAGAAGAGGGCTGAGAATGAGCCTTGGTTGGCCCGGAAAAATACCAGGCCACCCAGATATGTAAACAACCTACGCTACCCGGCCCGGGCCGACCCGGTACAGATGGGAATGGCCCATTTTTTCCTCAAACTCAACGGCAATAAAACTGAACTTTTTCTTGTTGGTACCAAATCCACCATCTCCAAATCTGACAGCTTTTCCTTAACTATTGACAGCGCCACAGTCTCCCCCTCCCCTCAGGTCAAGAGTCTGGGTGTCATCCTCGACAGCTCACTTTCTTTTCAAGCTCACATTAATAACATAATTCAGTCAGTATATTTCCATCTTCAATCCATAAACCGTCTCCGCCCCTCCCTTACCCCTCACACTGCTGCCATTCTCATCCACAGCCTCGTCACCTCCCATCTCGATTATTGCAATTCACTTCTTTATGGTCTCCCCAACTAACTCCTTCAAAAACTGCAACTGGTCCAGAATTCAGCAGTCCGTATTATCACCAGAACCCCTTCCTTTCAACACATCACCCCGGTTTTTCAGTAGCTTCACTGGCTCCCAGTTAAATTAAGGTCCATCTTCAAAATTCTCCACCATTCCTTCAAGGCCATCCACAACCTCTCTCCTCCATATATCTCAGACCTTATAAGTATTAACACCCC